CACCACCACCAGCACCACCACCAGGATCTCGGCGACAACGACTAGTACTATGCTAGTACTAGTACTAGTAGTCTACTAGAACTCGAACTATCCCTACAACTCCTCCTCTTACTACTACTGCTTCTACGCCTACGACTACTGCTGCTACTGCTACTGCTACTGCCACCACCACCACCACCAGTACGACTACCACCACTACCGGCTACTATATACACTCCTGTCCCCTGAACCCTAAACCCTAACCCCTTTTTTGAACCCAGACTCTAACCCCCAAACCCTAAACCCCGGATATTCTTCGAAGTTAAACCCATGAAAGCTCCAAGCAAAACCCGACGCCCAAAGCTCCACTGTGTGACGCTGGTAGCATCCCTTCCTAAAATAGGGGACCCTAATACAGTACCCTCATAGTAGGATACTTATTAAAGGACCACAAAATAAGGTACCCCTAAGTTTCGGAAACTCCCACATCAACATACTAAGAAACATGAAAAAAATCTGGTGTGCCCCAGAACCTTGAACCCTAAGAACCAGAGACGATCCCAGACTCCAGCAAGTCTCCGCTGTATCTGTTCCAGGCTTTTCTTCGTAGCTTTGGGATTTGAGTCGGCCAGGGCTTTTTTGGTTTAGGGTTTAGGGTTGAGCAATTACAGTAAGCCCTTCCTCCTAGCGGCCAACATCGGCACAAAGGTTGGCATAGGCTTTGAGGACGCGCAAGAGGCATCGCTGTTGGGCCTCGTCGAAAGCCTTGCTTGCGCGCACGCCGAAACCAAACAAACCTTCTAGACCGTGCCAGAAAATCAGCCTTAAAATCAGCAGCCGTTCCTCCTGCTCGTTTGATTTTGGTCAAGGTTATTCGTCCAAGCAGACGACGTTGACTTAGGTCGTAGTTATCCTTTCAAGCTTCGCAGTCATAGTAGCGGGAGCCCTCACGGGGCATCCAAGAAAACACTCACCCAGGTAGTAATGGTAGTGGTCTCCGTCGTGCTGGTGGCAGTGGTAGGTCGTCGTCGTCGTAGTAGTACTACTACTACTACTAGCAAAGTGGCAATACAAGTACAAGTGCCAGTACCAATACGCGTAGTAGTGCTAGAATGCTAGAAATACCAATATAGTAGTAGTAGTAGTAGTAGTAGTAGTAGTAGTAGTAGTAGTAATAATAGTATTTGGTAGCAGTAGTAGTAATAGCAATAGTAGTAGCAGTAATAGTAGTAGTGGTAGTAGTCGTTGTCGTAGTAGCAGTAGTAGTAATAGCAATAGTAATAGCAGTAATAGTAGTAGTGATAATAGTAGTCGTAGTAGTCGTCGTAGTCGTAGTAATAATAATAGTAGTTGTTGTTGCGGCAGCAGCAGTAATAGTAGTATTGTGCGCTCGGTTCTGACTGGCAGAGCTTACACCCCCCCCCCCCATCACGGCCAAGAATCAGGATTCTCTGGAAATGTTCGCGGCACATCAATCTCAATTAAATGGATCCATTCCTGAGTCTCCCAGCATGCCGCAGAAGCCTTTGGGACTTGGGGAAAACTGACAGTAATGCTCCAAGCCCGACGGAAACAACGTGAAGTATCACCACACGCCGCCCAAAGACGGACTCCTATGCATAGCGAAACCAGCATATTAAACATCAAAGTGTAGTTCCAGCTCTTCCAAGGGTCATTATCCGAATTTTGCAGCTCCTGGTACAAGCCCGGTTTCGCATGCCCGTCGATGTTCAATACAGCCTGCCACACCTGCCGATGCAGGACCCGGCTCAACTGGGCTTTTAGTTGCATCTCGGGTTCTTGGGCTCAAGGTTTCATAGTATTTAGTTAGTAGTCTTGGCTTGGGTCCATGATTGAAGACTTATTGTTTCAGGGTTTGGGGCCTACAAGTCCTGCAGTGAAGTGTTCCATCTGAAAACAATGAATCCTACCACATGCTACCTTTTTGCAAAACACGCAAGGGGGGAAACTGAGTACTCATCTACAGGGAACGAAACATCTCACTCGCTCCACAGCCACTTCGGCAACTCGTAGGGGGCACCGATTTTTTACCCGGTCATGACCACCGCAAAAGCTCGGAGCCATAGGCAGACGCATGAAAAAGCCTCCAAGACATAAAGCGGCTATTGGCCGCGAGGACTTGTCGAGGATATGGGAAAAGGCACTTTAGAATGAGCGGAAGTACAACAACAGCAGTAACACTGTAAATGGTCGTACGATTGAGGTCTACTAACTGCTAAGAAACTAAGTGCTAGCAAACTAGTATTGAGGAGTACATTACCAATCAGAAGAAGAGCAACACAAAGCAAACTGCTACTGCTGCCGCGATTAGTTGAACGCGAAAGCTGAGAAGGTGTGTATAAAGTGTCGAAGGGGCTTCAGGCAAGAATTAGCATTTGCCTGAGAAGCTCATTATAAAGGCTGTCGAATCACACCTGCGGCTGCCCACATGGCATGTGCAATCTTGAGGCCTGAAGTCAAGCGGTCGACCCTATAACCCTAAATAGGCCGTACATCTAAAACAATTCCAATGGAAATGTAGCTTAGGGCCTGAAGGTAAGTGTTTGGATGCCCACCTCGACCACCTACCTGTAGCAGCCACACGATGCGGCTTGGAACACAATCTGTACACGTGCACGAGAGCCCCACTTAATAAAGCATCCGGTTGGGCAATAATTAGTGGTTGGCCTGGTTCCTCAGCCAGTTAATTACCATGGCCTGCCGACTTGGAGCCAACCAAGCCGGTCCTGATTTCAATCCTCAGTGGCTCACTCCCACACAGCCAACGCGTGCAGGAAACGACCCCACTGT